AATAAATAAATAAATAAATAAAATAAATTGAGATTATTTTAAATTATTTTTCTTACTTCCATTATGAAGAGACTTTGAGCCTTTCTTTAAAAAATGGAAAATAAATAGCAAATGCACATGCCAACTGTGCTAAGGAGTAAGATCTGGATTGCTGTTCTCAATTGTATTTCAGCTTTGAGAAAGAAATTTATTAACTGGTAAGCCCCCTTACATTTCATCTGATATCTTTCCTGACTAAAAACACATTGTTAACATATTAATGGCATCAAAGTGATGTGTTCTTTGTAAGAATATAAAACAACTTACAAAAAACAGAAAAAAATCTTAATATATGTACTTAAGGTGTAAATATGCACAGACATTCAAAACATTGTAAATGAAAAACCCTTATATGAAGTGATCCTAAAAGTAAGCTCTATAATGAGTTGACATCTGGATATATCACAAATATTCCTGTTGACTTGTAGGTTATTTAGTTGAAATATTAGCAGGTAACCAGAAGCAATTAGTCAGTGATGTGCTAAAATTACTAAATAGATTAAATGCTGATGTAACCAGAGATTGTGTCAACATTTTAAATGATCATTTATAAAAAATCTTAGGGTACACAGTATCCTTTCTCAGACACAAAATGTGGGGTAGGGAGGGGAGAGGAACATTAACACTGCAGTCCTTTACACAGCTACAAGCCTCACTAGCATTTAATTTTGCATAGCTAGTCATAGGAATGCACTGACTGACAGGCAATTTTATTGACAACTGGTGGCATGCTACAGCTGCTAAAAAAGAGCATATTAGAAAATGCCCCAAGTTCTATAATGTCTGTTTGCAGTACAACTCCTGAACTGTTATTGCAGGCTCCAATAGAAATATAGAAACATAAAAAAGTGACGGCAGAAAAAGACCTAGTGGTTCATCAAGTCTGCCCTTTGAGTTTGTTTTTTTTATTTTTAATTAATTTATTATTATTTTAATATTTAATTTTTTTATTTTTTGTTTTATTTTTATCGCATGATGGACATGTGTGTATCCGAAAACATGTTTAAACTCAGTTACTGATGATTGACTCACTACTTCTGCTGGAAATTGGTTCCAAGTTTCCACTATTCTTTCTGTAAAGTAACGCTTTCTAATATTATTTTTGAACTGTCAGTTTGAGGTTATAATCCTTGTGCTCTTTGTTTTTGCTTAATATTGAAAATACTGCCTTCCAGAATGTTTTTCAAACTCTAATATATTTAAGATTTTAGTCATGTCACCTATTCTGAGAATATCACCCCTTTCCCTTCTGTGCTCCAGGCTGTACATATTCAGTTCCTCCAATCTCTCCTGATATGTTTATATTTATGTCATAAAAATATGATATCAGGATATCATATATTTATGAGATCCTCATAAAGTTTCAGTTGCCTGCAGATATAAGTGTAATAAAATAAAATAATTAGTTGATGTTAATAAAAAATGTTGTATAATTAAATCAATAATGATTTAGTTCGACATATTATTTCCTTCCCATCTATACTGAGAATTTATTTTTCTTTAAAACAAATACAGTATATTTCCCATTGCCACTTGTTAAATAAAACATTCTTATTTCTAAAATTAATTAATACTCTTCCCACCTATGAAATAATAGCTTTTTCTTAACTCTTCTATGAAAGTTGCTGGCTAGTTGATCACTGAGCATGCTCCGCGATATTCTGTATTCATATTCAGGAGGCAGAAACCAGGAAATAGCCAAAGAAAGAATCCTCATCTGGCTACACAACCACCCCCCACCTCCCCATCCCACCCCCACAACCACCCCTGCTTCTCCCTCCCTCACTTTGCAGGGGTTGTGTGTATCTATGATGTAGTGAGTCATGAGACAGACTTGATTTGATCTTGCCTTCTCAGTCAGGTCATAATATGCACACTTACTATATGTGTCCTTTCATGCATGTTTAAACACAGTAATTAGTAATTAAAATCACAAATACAAACAACAACAATTGCTTTTCCCCACAGTTTTTCACAAAAGATATATTTGCTATGAAATAGGATCAGTAAACATTGAATTATACAGAATGCATATTTCATTTTAGATATCAATAATGCTTTGGACTAGGGATGTTGATGTGTAGTAAGCCAGAGAAGGTGCACACTGGGAGAAATGTTTATGTAAAAAAAGTTAGAATAACACTTTACCCATATGAATTTAGCCAAAATTCTCTTCTTCTTTAAAAGAAATTTCAAAAAGTAATTTAATTTTTATCCAGCTAAATGGGAATTTGTTAAAATATGAGAAGTTGTGTTTGTGTGTGTGTGTGTGTGTAATACAATCCTAGTTTCAACATTAATTATAGAAATATAATTGCATGTGTCAAATTACTTCTGATTTATATACTCTACAAATGATCAACATAAGTCATTTCCACATGAGTAAGCAAAAAATAATTACAGAAGAATGAATTTTCTTATATGCCATAAATGCAGTGCTTTTTTTCTAAAACAAAAAGGTGCTGGAACTCACACATGTCATACAAGCCGCCTTGCCTGCCCTACAAGGTTCCATCCAAAAAAAGTGCCAGAACTCCATTCTGGGCATTCTATGAGAAAAAAAGCCCTGCATAAATGTATAATGTGGGGGTAACAAACACCTAGATTACAGATTATTTGTTTTTGCAAATAAATACATTTCTTGTGGTTTATTTCTTTATCTCATTTTAACCATGTAATGTAGGGAGAGGAATGAAGTTTCAGAAAGAGAGTAAAGAATAAAGCCATAACAATAATAGAATTCCTAAAAATATTTGGCTAGCCAAGATAAATGGAAAGGAAATATCCTTGTATTTTTTCCTCAATGCAACATTGATTTTACCTCAAAACCTCACCTTATTTCAGCCAGTTACTCCTGGTTTTTCTCCATTATTGTTCTCTCTTTGACATCATCCTTTGAAAGTGAAAGTGAAGCAACTTGTGGTAGTACTTTACACTGAAATTTTGAATAGCCATTAAAGGGCAGGTCAGGTGGTATAATCCCTTGATTGTATGAAGGCTTCCCCAATGAACGGAACCTTTTGCAGAAAGATTGTGAAAATTGATTGGCTGAATCTGAACAAATGGAACTGAAGTATGGCAAAAATGTAGGCCTGCAAATGTCTGATGTTGCAGAAGAATTCTGAGTATTAAGTTCAACTGTGAAATCTTTAATATAAGACAAGGCTTGACTATTCAGTTGAGCATATTCGAACGTCAGTTTATTTTTTTTTATTTGACCCACACGATCTAAGATACTTAAGTTTTTCTCATCTTCAGAACAAATGATATTTTCTTTCTGATTCGTAAAAGATGAACACTTGGCATCAGTTGTTGTTTGAACATTATATTGATTTGCATGATGGCCAAGAACATACTTTGACCTTGGGGTTATGTCACTATGTTCATTCTGCAGCTGGGGTTGTTTTTTAAATTGAGCTATATCGTTGCTCATTTCATTTCCAGTCCCTTTATCTTTGAAAGGCTTGTTTTTTTAATCATAATCGATCTTTAAAGAAGCAACTTGAGTAACACAATGTTCTAAAAGCTGCATTGGGTTAGTATTATTCTCCTTTGAAATCTCACTAATGGGAACTTGAGAATGACAGAAGCTCAATGGCTCCGTTGGATCCTTACATTCAACAGACCAGGATTCATTCTTTGATTCACTGTCATCTTCAGGCTCTAGAGAATCTGGAGAAGTTGCTGCAGTCATGTAAGAAGAACATGATTCTGCATCATGATTATCCATAACAATGTGGCAAACTGAATCTTCATTTGAGACCTCTAGTGGCAGAGATTCAATACTAATATCTGTACATTCTTCTGAGAGAAACACCTTCATTTCAGATGAATTTACCAATAGATCATCCCAACTGTCCTCTACTCTTTGTCTGTCACCTGGTATGCCATTGTTAATTATGAGCTCAGACATAGCATTCACATTTTCTTCTCCTTCTAGAAAGCTACATGAATGGATATCCTTTTGATCATGTTCAATTTTTTCTGTTGAATATGTCTGGATTTCACTTTTGCTATCAGTTGAAGATGCCCCTGGATTGCTTTTATTTTCCTTAAAATCTGGGATGCATTGAGACACTGACTCATCATCTTTTCTCATCTGTGTCTGAGGACTGTTAGGAAAGTCTTGGGGGGAAAACAGTCCTGGCTTTTTTCGCAGCCAATTGATAATCCCCATGGTCAGGGAAAGCTCAGTATCACATAGCTTAAGCAAGCATTCTTTGCCCTTCCATGTGCTATGGAGGAATCCCTGACTGATTATATCAATGGTTGGCTGGGAAGCCATATTTTCTTCTGACCCTACATGAAAGCTGTAAATTGATAAAGGTATCTCAACTGCCTTTTCTGAAATGCTTTCAGAGAAGCATAAATCATCATCTAGAACTGGGCTGATTTGATCTTCATTGGGATCATAGAATAGTTCATATAGGGCATCTCCACTATAACTGTCTCTTGGAAACTGGGTTGGTGTTCCAGGGGATTGAACCTCCCTTATTTCATCATCATGCCCAGGAGTAAACGAATCATAGTATCCTTCATCACTGGTGGACATAGATTCCTGGTTGTCACTCTTTGGGGTCCCCGTATCTATGGAACTGTCTTTAGAAGAGTCAGGAGAAGAAAGCAAGTCAGCCACTGAGCCTTTGGCTTCCTTCTTTGCTTTTTCTAACTCACTGCTAGCTATTTTTAGCAAACTCCTATCAAACAGTGTCTTCTGGTGCAATTGCACAGATTTGTTGATGTTGTCCCAAAGTTTTGAAAAATCAGCTGCTTCATTTTGAGCTGGGGAAGCAAGCTGCTCTACTCCACCTTGAAAGGAACCCATGGCAGGATTCTCTTTTTGGTGAGATTGTCTAAACGAAATTTCTTTGCTGACCTCCAATTCCATATGAGCAGAACTTTCATCTGCAAAGATTTCTCCACATCCTGTGAGAGAATCAAAGCTTTTCAGGGAAGCAACATCTTCACACAAAGTACTTGAATATTCATATGAAGACTCAGACTGAAGCTCACAATCAGATAAGTCTTGCGCCAAGCAATCAGTAGAAAAGGTTTCACCAGCTTTGAACAAATATTTACCAAACTTTCCTGCCAATTCTGACTTGTAGCCTGGAAATGCCCTTTTTTGCTTTTCTGAAAACAAGGCAACATTCTCAGGCTTATTTTTTTTAATATGAAAGATATCTCGAAAACCTTTTTTGGACCGTTTCAGGGAAATTCTCTTCCTAGGTATACTTTTGGCAACAGCTGGCACAAAGGGCATTTGGGGTACAAAGTTGCGGTAATCAATCATCTGTTGAGGGCTGTTCAAAAAATGGCTTGAGTTGACCACAGATTCTTTCTTGCCACTAGAATGTTGGGTGTTTCCAAGCCCAGAAAAGCTGGCACTGTTGACGAGTCTCCCGTTGCTTTTTTCAGAAGCTAAAATGTCCTCTTCAGAATTTTCATTATTGTAACTGCATGGTTCAATTTTATTTATTCCTCCTAGAACACAGTCATGGGTTTTGCTTTTCCTAACAGGTTTGTAGAAAGATTGGGGTAACAACAGTATACTCTCACTAGAGCCAGTTTTTGTTAATCTGTTGGAAAAACTGCCATTTTTATCTGCAGAAAAAGTTGCTTTTTGAATTTCAACAACAGGCTTGCTCTTCTCTTTTATGTCTGCTTTGACATCATCCTTTTCTTTAGGATTTAAGTGCACTAAAGGTAGCTTCTCATGAGTCAGATGCATGCTAGATTTTATGAATGTTTTTCCTCTTTTGAACTCCATCACAGCTGGCCCTATAATCAGAAAAATAGAATAAAACTTAAAGGGTATCTACCACATTACCTCTGATGGAAACATAACAACATTACTTATCTGTGATATTTTATCTACAATAGGAATTTCAGATTTATACAAACAAACCTGTTTAAGTAAAGAAGTGAAATACTTAAATTCCTCAAGCAGAACTAAGTAAAATAAAATATGCCCTTTCCTTTGTCCTCACATCCAAAATGTCAAGGGTTTATAGGAAGAACAATTGTTCATACATTATTTCCAAATCCAATCCAGATATTCATAGTGACTTGGCAGGATCAAGTGGAATTGATCAAGTGGAATTAGTGTTTCTCCCAGCTCTCTTGTCTCTACAGATATATTTACTACATACTTTAAAATTTATGATTGTAATATTTCAGTGTTGCTTTGTAGACCACCTGAGGTTTTTGTGCAATGTATTTTCATCAGTGCAGCATGCTAGACTCAACAAAAGTTGTCAGGTGACTAAACTCTTAAATGTGTCATTTTTAAAAGTTCATATTAGCCACCCATTAATGATCCAAAATCCCTTCTATTCCAGCATGACTTTCTCAAAACAAATGGCTACTCTAGCTGAAATATGTTCTTGTGAATAGCACTGCTTTGAGACTACTTTTTTTAGAGTAGTTAGGCACATATATAAATGTACATTAGCTATTATCTATGAAAATTCATTTCATTTTTGAAAACCATAAGTCCACAATTTTCATCTTAATTCACAATATGTTAGGCTAAAGCAGTGTTGGCGAACCTATGGCACAGGTGCCAGAGGCGGCACTCAGAGCCCGCTCTGTGGGCACGCGCGCCGTCGCCCCAGTCCTAGGCCTTCAGCTGGGTTTTATAAAACCTTTTCGTTTTAGGCCTCCGCTGCCCTGTGCAAAAAAAAAAGGTTCAATCAATCAGTCAATTTCAACTTCTCGCGGGAAAAAAAAAATCTTGCAAAGTTGGAATTGATTGATTAAACGTTTTAGTCCCACCCAGTCTGCTGTTACCACCGCAGCCATGCCTACCCAATGGGCCACACCCACCCAATGAACCACACCCACCCAATGGGCCACACCCACCCGGCACCCGACGATGCATAAGTGGGTTTTGGGTTGCAGTTTGGGCACTCGGTCTCTAAAAGGTTTGCCATCACTGGGCTAAAGGTAAGTATTGGATTCAATCGGACTTATGCTTATGCTAATTCCCTTTGAAATCTTTAGTGATTTTAAATTCAAATTACAGTGGTAATTGTGAGTTTGTAATTGTGATTCCAATCATTCCCATTGATTTCAACTAAACAAATGAATACCTGTGGTTGTTATTTATTGTAAGTTTAATACATACTACAATTCAATACAATGTTTTCTGTAGAAGCTTCCCTTTTCTGGAACAGCTTATTTCCTGAAGTATGGATACCTCCTTCCCCTTGGCTCTTCCACAGGACCCTCAGATATGCTTTATATTAAGTGATGTCATTTTATATATTTCTACAATTCCTTAGCTTTGCATTCTTAGTTTTTTCAATCAAATAAAGGAGTGGTATATTTGGGTATGTGTACATGTTTACTAAACAAACTTTGTCAATACAACTTCCACACATTTAAAAAGAATCCTTCTTCCATGAAGCAGAAATTCTTTTTAATTTCATTGGTCCTTTTATCATTTTCTTCTCTTTGGTAAAACAATATTTTCATTTCAACTGCTATAGGACAAGCCCCTGATTTTCTCACAGATGGATCAAAACATCTGACTCTTGGATCATTTTCAGACTAGAGCAGAATGTCCATTAAAAAACAATTCTTTAAACTGTTAAGCTTTCATGTTTGTACATGAAAAGTATTAATCTTTTTAGAAAAATAAAAAGATTCAAGCAATTGTTTAATTAAATGAACGTGGTTATGTAGTTTGAAAAAAACCCTTTTGTTGCAACATCTTCACTTCTCTCCTTGAAAAGTAAGATACATAATAGTATCACCTACGTTGCTTTTCCCCACTTTTCTTTCCTTACATGCATGGCACTATTTCTAAATAATCAGCACAATGGATAGTGCCTTATCTGGTACTCTGACCAGCCATCTAAAGAAGAGTTGCAGTAAATTACTCATTTGCTGCAATTGTGAAAATGGCCAATTGGAAAGGAACTGTATACTGGAATGTGGGGGAGGGATTAATTGATTTCACATCAAGATGCCTCTTGTGTGAAAATTCTGCACCAATTATTTATAAAGGTCTCTGCCTTCCTCCCCCATGTCTAAAGCTGAGGGATGTGTTGTTCTTGTTTTCCTTCACACCTTAAGGAACGCTTGCATGGCATGCGACATATAATATAGCATCCAATCACTAGATTGTCTCCAGAGGGAAAAGCCTCCCCTCCACCCCACAACACACATATACACAAATACTTGTTTGCATTCACCTGAGAGAAAAATCAGCATTTCATTACTGGTTATATATAGCAATCTGTTGTACAAGGACACTGAGTATTTATCCTACCAGATCTCATCATCTTGCTGTTCAGTTTCTACACAAAGAATGTGTGCGTGTTGAAAATATGAAAAAGGAACTGTGGCAAGCAATTCATTCAAAATAATCCTAAACACTCTAGCACTGACAAAGAAAAATAAATACACCACACCCCTGCACCAAAATGTAGCATACCCACTAAGGCAACAAAAGATCACACTCACCATGTCTTATTATGCCAGCTGCAGAAGTCCTTATTACTACATCCTTTTTACTGAGGCTGTTGTGTCTTTATATAGAAGCTCATGAAATATATTCAAGACTCGGAAGAGCTGATTTCTTCCCTTTACTGGGATTTGCTCCTCCCTCTCTCTTTTTTCCCTCCCCCTCTTCTCTTCTTCCTTCTTTTAACCAATCTTTCAATCTCTTCAGGTATTAGATGTCATTCTCTGCATGGATTTCAAATTTTTACATGTAGCCAATTTTAGAACAGTGAGGTTTTTACAAGCCATCTGTGTAGTAGCTGATGACTACTGAGTGCTATAATAAAATATATTTTTGTTCTCTGAAAATTACACACACAAACACATTTACACATGGTTTGTAAGACTGGTTTTCAAAAGCAATAACTAATAGTTTTTTTAATATATATCATTAACTGATGTGTTTTAAGGATAATAGTTTACTGTTAATTATGTTCCTTGTTAAGATGTGCTACAATCTGCTGATTAGGGATTTTTTTTAAAAAAAATGCTATTGTTTATACAAAAAGCATATATAATACAAGAAATCTAATATCAAATATGACATGAACTAAACTGTATGCAACTATCAGTAATGCTTGTTTATTTTTGTGAATTCTGAAACTTTAAGAGGGGGTAGGCATACTTTCTTAAATTTAAATAACTACAGTATATGTTTACTAGTTTAATAAGATTCAAATTAATTGTCATTAACTTGAAACAAACTATTCCACATAATCTAAAAGTATTGTCAAACTTTTAAAGGCATAGTTCAGATATGCACAAAACTGCTTCCTGATACATAATCTGTATAGGCATAAATGTTGCTCAATTCACAGAGAGTTAAGTACCATAAATGCATGTTTTTATAATAATTCTTTCTAGAATTAATTACAGTGATTTTTTCATCTTGAATTAGCAAAAGTGTTTTGACCACAGAGGCCATTTATAAATCTAGCTGAAAAGATATTTAAATACAGTATCCATTGCTCAAAGGCCAGGCACACATGAATAGAAAGGATTTACAGAGGCCAGCACTGAGATGCTAATATGTTGGGCACATAAACCTTAATATTTCTTAATATCAGGAACTCATAAAAATACTGAACATAAATTAAATGAGCAAAATTGCATAAGTACGGGGATATTAGTCTTTAAATAAAGCAGTTATAACTTGTGTTTGGAACTGAAAACAGAACAATAACCCTCATTCTTGTTTACATTTTGGACCAATTTACTTTAGAAATTCACCCAGGTCAGCATAATCTCTTATGGAAACAAAATATCTTTCTAATTAAATAGCCAGACTACTGGCAGCAAAATGAAAGATAGAAAGTATTTTTAAAAATGGACTGAACATAATTGTGAAATTTCTAGTAATATAATAGCTCCAAAATAGCTATAGGCCAATTTACAAGGGGACAATCATGGGGTAATGGAACAAAATCAAGCTGCAGCTTTGCAAATAAATTTTTCATTTGAAAACATTTCTGTTCAATAGTTACTGTAGCCTGAGAGGGTGTCCCCAGCTCTCTTTGTTGCAAAATCAATAGTATGTCCTCATTTTCTCTCAAGCAACACAAAGAAAAAAAATGATCCAATAAAGACTTGGGGGAGGGCCATACTGATGGGTTGCCTCATTTTTGAAAAACTGTTGGAATCCTCTACTTCTATTTTATGGCTAGCCTAACTCATGCTGGCTAATAAGACTCACATATCACACAGCTCTTGCACTTGCCCACCATGTAACATGAGCCAGCAACCTCTTTTTTTCTGCCACATTCAATCCAAAGCTGAATTTGCAGATATTCCTCATAATTCAGGGTTAAAGGCGTGTTTTTCTCTTAAGGTGATAACAACACTTTTGCTGTAGATGCAATTTGATGTGTTTCCAGTTCTTCAAAATTCCTGTATGTGTCAAGTCTCCATGCTGCTCCCCAACTTAAAGACATTGTCAGCCAGAACAGCTGCTAACCAGGGATGGTGGTAGGAGGTTGCATAAAAAAGTAAGACTCAACTCCCTCTCTTCTGCTTTATAATACAACTTGCCTCCTACTTCTCAGCTGCTAGTTCAGTGGTGGCAAACCTATGGCAAGGGTGCCAGAGGCGGCACTCAGAGCCCTCTCTGTGGGCATGCGCTCCGTCACCCCAGTCCTAGGCCTTCAGCTGGGTTTTATAAAACCTTTTCGCTTTAGGCCTCCGCAGCCGTGTACAAAAAAAAAAAGTTCAATCAATCAGTCAATTTCAACTTCTCGCGGGAAAAAAAAGATCTTGCAAAGT